CTGGCATCGCTACTAGGAGCAAGGACGCTACTAGGGGCTCCTGGCCTTACTACTAGGAGCAAGGACGCTACGAAGAACAAAGGGCATTGCTACTAGGATCATCAATGATAGCACAATCTCCAAGAGATGCTGAGCGCGTTGCAAAAGTACGCAAAACGGTGCTTCACGGTGCTTCAGTTTAAGCTCTCGACCTGTGGCCCAAATCCACAGGTGGCTATGTATTTTGCTCGTTGGACCTTAGATTGGGAGAGAATGGAGAAAGGTAAAGCAACTGCAAGGAAAAGGACTAGCGATGGCCTCCAACCTAGAAGAGATGGCCTCCAACCTAATAGCAATGGCCTACCCCTGAAGATGGCCTCCAACCTAAGGAAAAAGGATTGAAAAAGGTTCAAGAGAAAAGAGAAGGTCAGGCCCCTTAAAAGAGTCCTTACCCAGCCATTTCGCCTCATCATCACGCCGGATAATTCCATGACCAGAAGAATCATAGATTCGGAGTAAGACCTTGTCCTGAAAAACACACATACACCACAGCATCACACTCAATTGAAAATTGGACAGGCCCCATTGCCTTCTTTTGTGCAAACGGGCAAGGGCGCAACATCAGACAAGATTCGCGAAAACCAACTTGTTTGTTTAACCAACTTGTGCGTTGTCTGCTTCAGTCCTCTCCGCAAGCCACACGAAAAACCTTGCCCCAAGGACGCGAAGGGTCAACACTGTCATGATACCTATTAGATTGGAGGCCATTGCTAAGGGTCAGTACTCGACTTGGACGCTCTTTACTGAGGGGAGGGGTGGCGGGGTTGGAAGGAAAGCTGGAAAGTTGTCAGTGGCTGATCAGGCTGAAGGATACCTTTCAAAGTCCTTGCATGGGCTTGAGGCCAAAACACAAAAATGCAAAGAAGAAACTAAAGGCAATGGTCTCCAACCTAATAGCTTAAGTAGCTCGTAGCGATGGCCTTTAGCATAGTAGCGACGGCCTCCACCCTAGTAGCGATGAAAGAAATAAACGTCTGAAGAACTAGACAATGGAAATGCATCTTTTCTCAGAATGATAACCGAGACTGGGGCTGAGTTCGAACATGCGATTGTAATCTGAGAGATGTCCACGGGCCTCGACCTCCAAAGAAGACGCATGAAGAGTGTTCAAATGAATGTTATCTTTCAAAGTGTTGGAGGCCTTTGCTATTAGGTTGGAGGCCATCGCCCGTATGTTGGAGTTGTTCCTTTCATTGCTTTCTTGTTCTATTTATTCTAATTCTATTTAGTGAACATTGTTCCTAGTAGTACGGCCAGGAGCCCCGTTCGTAGCGTCCGAACGTTCCGTTCGTAGCGATGCCCAAGTAGTTACGTTCGTAGCATCCTTGCTCCTACTAGTAAGGCCAGGAGCCCCTAGTAGCTTCTTGTTACTACTAGTAAGGCACCTGTAACTAGTAGCGTGGCACTTGTTACGTTCGTAGCGATGTGCACGTGCACAAGTCGTGGTCTGAACTTCGCCTCCACGAGGGTCTTACCTGAAAGACCTGGGAGCGCGGTTACAATGACACTGCAGCACAGCGTTTAGAAAGCAGAAATGGTTGAATCGAAAACTCATAAGCAATAGATGATAAAAGAAATGTCGAAAGCTCCAAAAAGGAATCGAAAAGAAGTTGTTTTAAGATGGACAAATAATGAAGTCTGAGCATGTAGCATGCTTGAGGAAGGAAGCAGGTCTCAAGACAGGCATTGATCTGAAGACACCTAGAGCCTTTGCTCTTGTGCTTTTCTGCGTTTTCCTATGGGAACTATCTCCCGCTTACTTCATGCTCTTTCATCCAACCAAAATGTCATTGAGACATGCAAAGGAAGAAAAAACAGGAAGTGCAATCTGTGACTTTCTCGGAACACAAGTGTCGCTATGTGAGCCAAACTGCTGAAACGTGAACAAGCAGAAATATAAATAGAAATGACACAATAATGAGACACAGAAATTAAATCAATAGTTAAGTCTACAAAACTTAAATGAAATGAAACACATTTTGGACAGAATATGCCTCAAGCACATCTGTTGTCTGCCCTTGCTACCTGAGGCGGACTAGTCTCTAAAGAAAAAGAAAAAGAGAAAACGAAAAGGAGGCCCCTTTATGAGGCCCAAAGGAATACTCCTAGCAAGTGAGTGAGTGCGTGATGTGAGAAATGAGTGAGTGGGGCGGGCAAACGGGCGGACATGCGGACGCGGCAGACGCGACGCCGATAAAAGTGATGGAATAAAAGAATTGTCTGGAAGAATCTATGACTTCCAAGAAAGAAAGGCATGGTCTTTCAAGTGCCACTTTTTGACTCTCTGCTGCTACGCTTGCCAGGTGATCTTTGTGGACACCGGTGTAGGCCAAACAGGCCCTTTGCTTGAAACAGTTCTACGAACTAAAGCAGCTGAGAATGAGACATATCTGACAATTCATTCCAGAACCAAAGATTAATCTGACTTGAGGAGGACATCGAACACCAGGGGAAGATGATCAGATCCGACCGCTTGTGCAACAAAGGCTGCGCTGAAAGTGCCTTGCACATGCGACAAGCAAACCACATCTTTGAGTTGTTTGATCGAAGCAACTTGAGCCCCGTTCGTAGCATCCTTGCTCCTAGTAGTAAGGCCAGGAGCCCCTAGTAGCGTCCTTGCTCCTAGTAGCGACGCCCTTTGCTCCTAGGCGTCCTCTACAAGGTGTTTGGGCCTCTTTAATAAGGCCTCCTTCACTTACAAGTCACGACAAGTCTGTCTGGATTACTTGCGTTCTATGCGCCTATGTGCTGAAAGTCATCCGAAGCATAGATGTAATCTATTCGAGCAGGTGGGTCTGCCCGAAGAGTCCACCTTGACGTTTGCTGAGTCCTGGGGCTATGCATGTGCTACAGCGGTCTTGCCATGTGCTCAAAGAGAAGCAAAATGACAAAAAAGGGGCTATGCATGTGTTTCCATTTTCCATCGTGTTTTGCTCTGCCCCGTAAGGAATCGACTGCGGTAGCCTGCCGAGGTCTCGGTAGCCTGCCGCTTCCAAAGCCGCCAAGGCAGCAGAGTCTTCTGGCGGTGACCAGCGGTTCTCTGAATTCCGCGTCTCCAATGCAGCCCACTCCTAGCTGTCAAGTACACAAATCCAACAAGTGTTGCGCAGGATTGGCAAGTTTTACAAGAACGGTTTTCAGACTGTAAGAGCCTGAAAGTGGCTCTAAAATATGTTGTATCAAAAGCAACAGTTGATCTTCAAGCCTGTCCTTTGCCGAGTAGTCCGAACGCTTCATGGCCTAAGGGATCTCAAGGAAAGTCTCCGTTGACCCGAGGACCAACAACGTGGCACCCAAAGGGCTAGCGCAATCGTTTCCCAGGAATGACCTTTGCAACGCTAGAGCGTTGGCGCTTGGGAGGTGCCGAAAGATGTATCGAGAGGGGGATGGAATGCGTTTCTACATAGTGTCCAAGTCTTAAGAGGGAAAGTAGCCGTTCACTATAATATGGTCAAACCGTGGTGCAGCCATAGCCCTTGGAAGGTTTCAGCGACCACATACCAGATTGTTAAAAGCGCTCAAAGCTGCCGCATTGAGTCGGTGCAAAAGGAAAATCGATTTTCTGATCGGCAAATGGCATTGAGATCGCCGACAAGTAGATGCGGAAGGCCTTTGCTAAGCCGTGCCCGGTGGAAGAGGATGGATTCAGTTTGTCGCAGCCTTTCTGCCTGCACACAGGTTCTGTTGCACTCTTGCTGTCATCTTGATTTCATTCTACCTCCAAGTCTCAAGCCACTATTAGGTTGGAGGCCATCGCTCTATGGTTTGAGGCCATTGCTTGGTGATTCCTCTTCTATCTGGTATACGTGTACTTTTCCATTGCCAGTGTCTCGGTTCACCCGGCCTCAGAGATGTGATCCAGGTGGGTAGCCAACACAGCAAAGCGTTGAGCTTCACCTCGCTTCCATTACGGTCCATCCTGCCTGTGTGTGCCTTTGTGTGCCTTTCCTCTTCGAAAGAAAAGCTTATTGTAGAGACTTCAATTCTCTGACTGTTCAACTTTTGGATTTGAACTGAAAGTTGTTCCAACATGGACTCCCGATTGTTTTCTTTTCTTAGGCATGGACTCTCAGACTTGTCCTTCTGTTGTGGTCGTAAGGCCACGCATACCTGGACACATCCGATCCTATTCTCATAACATTGTGATGTTGATGTTCGTTTGTTATCCTACCACCGCCGCTGCCGGAGGGGCCTCCTCACTCACCACTCATAACTAACACTCAAATCGCGCACATTTACATCACTAACACTAAGTCGGCACAGTTACAAATCAGTTGCACTGAGATCATCAATCTTCATGTCTCCAACACCACAGCATCAACATCCGCATTTCCAAGATTTGTATCAGCAAGCCCGCAATAGCACGTCTAAGTCTAAGTCTAAGTCTGTGGTTGCGCTATGCAACTTCGCGTTTTCATGCAACTGTCTTCTTACCTAAGTTGATGTGCACGCCACTGTGCATGTTTCTGTGTGGCACAAAGGTTTGCAACACACATGTCGTTGGATGTCGTTGGCAACGCGTCGAATGGAACCTTTACAAAAAGTAAAATACAGCTACACCAGCAGCAAGTTGAAAGATTACTGACACATATACTGACACAAGTTTTGTGAAACACTCTTTCCGTACGTCTGTTGGTGAACGGGATCGTTTTTGCAACGGACTCTTGCTCACTGTATTGTCTTTCACCATCATTGTACGCTGCCTGAGCAACCAAGGAATGACTTTACTACACCGCTCACTAGCGCGACCTCACGCGCCGACCGCGCGACCTCGAAATGAGAAGACCGCTGCAGGGTTACCCTTCACACAGATAGATGGCGCCTTGAATTAAAGGGGTTCCTAGTAGCGCCTTTGCTCCTAGTAGCGTCTTTGCTCCGAGTAGTAAGGCCAGGAGCCCCTAGTGGCGTTCTTGCTCCTAGTAGCGATGCCCTTTGTTCCTAGCAGCGATGGTCTCTTGGTTTGAAGGGTTGCATTGTTCTGTGCGGAAAAGAAGCCGCGTCGGCAACACGCAGTGTATGCCAAAGTCCACACTGTTGACGCCTGTAGTACTGCTCTTGCTTCTGTCAAGAAACGTTCAATATCAGCTCGCTGGTACGGTACAATCGTATGAATCGCTCGTCGCTCGTTGTCCCGTCTACCCCTCACTTGCAGAGCAACTTGAAGCTGCCTCCGGGCTGCAAAGCTCACAAGTTAGTAAGAAACATCCTGGGACGCTTATGTGGATCTAAGAAGCAAGTGAGGTATTGTTTAATTCCCAATTAAAAACTCCTGACACTCAGGTCGCACAGGAATGGCAACTTTGCTTGTCCGGTCTGTTCAGGGCTTGCCGAGCCAGAAGTCTGTGATCACCAGGGTGGGCGCCGGTGGGGCCAAGCCACATGGTTCACCACAAAGGGTTGCAAAATGAGAGTCAACGGCACACATGAATGAAGTTAGGAAGCGCCTGTTGCTACAGTGCTTCAATCCCCAAAAAGAAATAGGAGCAAGGACGCTACTAGGAACAAGTGCATCGCTTCTAGTAACAAGTGCCTTACTAG